TTATTCTTTAATATTAGTTTTAAAAATATTATAAAAAATAATGTTAAGTAATATTTAATTTTTTTTATAAAATTTATAGTACGTGAATATATACCAACATATGAATTTTGTGAAACCATCTTGAAGGGGAAATTGTCAATTAAACAAATTAAAACAATAAATAATTTTTTTTGACTCAAATAGTTAAGAAGTGATTTTTGCTAAAATCAAATAGAAATAAATATTATTTTTCTATTAAAAGTGATAGTTGGTGAGATTTATTTATTTTATAATAAAAAATTGAAGTTACACGTGATAATTTATTATTCATCTAGATTTTTTTAGTACTTGCCAAATATGGTGGATCATGTTTTTTTTTTTTTTTAAAATCCCAATTGTCAATTAGAATAGAAAAACTAAAATAATTTTGCCTCAACTTGCTAAAAAGTGACTTTTGCTAAACGAAATAGAAAGAAACGTTACCTTTTTTTATTATTATTAAAAATGAGGGTTCGTGAAATTTCTTTTTTTTTATTAAAAATTGAGGATTATATGTGATAATTTGTTGTTCATTTAGAATTATTTTCAAATCAAGTGAGAATATCATTCTAAATTTTCTTCTTACCCGTTTTTTCATTCAGATACTTTTATTTTGTAAGAAATTTATTTTATTCTATTCAAATATTTTATAGTAATTTTTCAATTAAAAATAAGTTCTGAAAAATCATATTTAAATTATTTTGTCATTATACACTACAAGAAATCAACTTTTTAGAGACATTTATTTCGTCCCGAAAAGTGTAATATTTGTTGGGAAAAACTTTAGCCAACTAATTTCCTCCGTTGCAAAGTTTGTCCTAAATAGCCCGTCCGAAAAAGTCAAAAAATGACTTTTAGAGACAAAATTTGACATTTGTCACTATACATAAACTTTTAGAGACAAAAATATGTGGTTGCAAAAAATTTTGATTTTGAAACAATCAAAATTTGTCTCTAAAAGTCTAACTATAGTCCACAACAAAAGAAGTAATCATGGAGGCAAAAACAATCTCCTTGCTTGTTTTCACTTTTCAAAAAATACTTTTCAAAAAATTCTACTTTCTTATTTTCCGTGTCTTTTTGTTTTTACTAAATTTTTTTAATATTTTAAGCAATTTTTTTACTTTTTAAACATACCTAACATAAATACACCTAAAAAGTAAAAAAATTGTAAAAAAAAATCTTTTAAAAATTCACTAAATATCAAAAATACAAAAAAAAATATAATAATTCAATACATTTTTTGTTTTTTTACGTATTTATTAATTTTTTAAAATATTTTTTTACAAATTTTTTACTTTTTAGATACATTTAAGTAAGGTGCATCTAAAAAAGTAAAAAAATATTTAAAATTTTAAAAATATTCACTAAAAACAAAAAAACACGAAAAACCAAAAAAATCAATTTTCAAAAACTTAATTCAGAAAACTCAAACCAAACATAATTTTTGAGACAAGAGAAATTTGTCTCTAAAAGTTTAGTTTTGAAGACAAATGAAAGCGGTCTCTAAAAGTTTTAGTTTTGGGGACAAATGGTGTGTAAAGGTTAAAAATTTTTTGAGACAACTAAAATTGGTCTCTAAAAAGTTGAATTTTTTTTTTTTTGTAACAATTACTCTAAAAATACTAGGATGAACATCAACTTATATTCCTTTATTGATTTCTCAACAACCAAACAGAAAATATCAAACATATCACCAGACCATTCGTTCATCTCCAAATTAAAATTCAACTACACGAAAAAAAAAAAAATGCTCATCACATTCAAAGAGACTTAATCAAAAGATATTTCAATAACAAACAAATATCATGCTCCTAATTCATTAGTATGTACTATCTTGATTGTATACCATAAACTGACAGAGATTTCAAAAGTATCATTTCCAATTTATAAAGCTAGTGCTATTAGCATTGTTTGTAGTATTCAACTATTCAATGAACAAATTATAATTGGAGTTCTACCTACATAACAAAACAAAACAACTCAACTCATCGCATCTTCTTTTCAATGACTTTGTTGAAATGGCATTCAAAATCTAGCAGAGAGCTCCCAAGCTTCAAATCGACGCAAGTATGCAGGGCCTGCATAAAATAGGCCAAACTCTCAAATAGATTACCAATTAAAAATTATCCAATGATAGATTAATTTAATAGATTGCAATTTAATGTGCCAATTGTAGTATCTGCAGCAATCACATAAATCTTAGTACACAAAGCCACCCAAAATTCACTATCAATATTCAAGAGTTAACAAAGATTAAACTAAATCAACTTGTTACAAAAATTTGAAAATAATTACTCTAAGATAGACACAGTTTACATTGATGTTGTGAAAACAAGATGAAGAATGGTTACCTTGCATGGTTCATAGTTGAGCTCAACAATGTAAGGGAGATACTGTACAACAGGAAGGAAGAGAAGAGCTTCTCTCCAGTCCACAACATTTCATGTGGTCTGGCCTCGTGAATCCACCACGGGGCCCACTTTCATGATTCGATCCAATCATTTTATAGGCATCTGTGCACAGATCATGCATACCAAAAAACAAACACAAAAACAAAAAAGATTGATCCTAAATTTGTAGCCACATGATATGTCGCATTTATCTCCAAAGAAAAATAAAAATGAAAGTTGTTTATTAACTCGTACTTTTCGTCAAATTTTTTTCATACACGTGATGAAATGATGTATTTATAATTATCTCATCAATCTATTTTTTTATGCAAGATCTATGCATAGAGGTCTCTAAATGAATGGTGTACTGGAGAAAAGCTCTTCTCCAATTCACAAACATGCTTCTTCATAACAACAAATTGACTAGTAAAATTACATGCAGAATAGCTAAAAGTAAGCACAAAGAAATTTGGGATATGACCAAATTTACCATAACAAGTTAGAAGTGTAAACTTCTAAAAGCCATATTTTTAATATGTAGCAACTCTGTACCATTATCTAGAGATGTAGAATGGGTGATAAGAGAAATTTAAGTCAAATGAAGTACAAAAGGACTACACATAATAGTCAAGACCCAGTAGAGAAAACTGCATTCAAAGTACAGGTCAACAAAGATTGACAACAGAAAAGTGAAAATGGGAGTCAACAAAAGATCCAACACAAGTCACAGATGATTTTAAAAGATACAGCCCAAAGCAGTCTTGTTTTCAGCCTCAAACCCCTATTAAATCAAACACAAATCAACTCCAACCTTTTCCTATCCTTTAGGCTTCAATTCTATATCTTTTGAAACCTATGCTATCAAAGGATTTCCAGTAAGCTGTTTCTGAAAATCTTGCAAACTAAACTTTTTTCTAATTGAAAACATTTGGAAGCTAAGAATGGCTGCATGAATACTCGGAAGACTAGTTGAGATCATAGTGAGGACATTTCCTAGAGTTTGGGAGCTCAAGTTGGTTTGGTTATAAATCATGTTGAGGGGAATTAGCATAAGCATTCTAAGAAGTATTTCACAAGTTGGTTTGGTTCTTAGTCAAAGGAGCACTTGACATCATCTGCCAAGATCATTGAAATAATTCATCTTTATTGCCAAATGACTTCTAAGTTCAAATGCAGCAAATCAAGTAATAGAGAAAGTGGCAAAACTAGCATGAGAGCATGAGCAATCATAGAGGAGCTAGAAACAGAACACGTAACTGTTTTACTTGCAGAAGTTTACACAAAGTCTCACTCAACAGGAACATCAAAGCTGGAAAATAATAACAACATGAAGCATGCATGCATAATCTAATTACATATAACCCAAGAGATGAAAATAGGTCATAGTTTGCCTATTTAATACCATACATTGAAAAAAAAAATTGTAATCAAGCCAAATGTCCAATTTTGAAATTTTTGGTTCAATAGCTCCAACTCTATTATTTTAAGGTCATAAAAACAAAAACAATTTGAAAGACTATATTACTCCTACTACCTATTGTCTATTTGTCCATCCCGTTTGGGGACTTCTATTTTGGCTAAAATAGCCAATAAACACAAAAAAGGCTAAAATAGCCAATAAGACAAAATCTTACACCCTACACATCAATCAATCACTTTTTCTCTCACAACCATCTATTCAACTACAAAAAAATTCACAAAGCATCCCAAACACAACTTGTTTTCATTTCATAAAATAGCCAAAAAGCAAACTAAAATAGCCAAGTTTCCAAACGAAGCCTAATATGGTGATGTGTCCCTGACGTGTCCAAGTGGAGAAAAAAATAATTTTTAAAAATAGGATACGTGGCATGCCCAATATGTATCCCGGCATGTCTGAGACACAAATATGGCAACTAAGTTGAAGTGTCCGTGCATCGTAGCCCAAAAGCCAAATCTGTCTATTCATAATCATCTGAGCCTTCCTATTGTTTTTACTAGACTGCTGTCTTTTACACAGTGAAAAATCTAAGCTATACAAAAACCTCAAGTAAATCACTTTTCTGTAATACAGATTTAGTTGGTGGTTAGTAGTTTTCTAATCAGAATAGAACAGTACATAATAATTGGTATTAGTGTTTCTGACTGTGCATAACATCTTATTTTTTTGGCATAACGATAGAAACACAAAATGATAATTGTAGATCAAATAGAAGAGGTGACCGGAGAAATTTCGAGTACAGAAATATTACCCCAAGGAAGAACAGGAAACTCCCATCTCTGTTTTGGAACTGTGATAACATATGAAGCAACCTGCAAAAGGTCCAAAACTATTACAAAGTAAAAAGACAGAGCAAGTGCAACATTTCTGAATTAGTAAATTAGAAATAAGAAATGTAAATGCACATGCCAGTATTGATGCAGCAAGATATTTGGGAGAATTATAAAGAGCTGATGTTTGATCCTTTTCATAGAGAAGTTCCATAATATCCATGCATGCTTCAAAGTTTACAAGTTTCCCAACCGTTGCAATTCCCTTAAATTCATATAAGACAGAAAAGACAGAATTTGTGACCCATTAGAATAAACAGTAAACTGATCTAAACTCCAACCATATGATTGCCAACATATTTTATAATGATGACACAAAAAAAAACTCACTTGAACTGAATGAAAAGCTCCTTGAGGAATTCAAAAGCAATATTAGCTGTACCAATCTCAAAATCCAATACCTTTCAAGAAGAAGAGAAAGAGTAGCAAAACATGTCAGTTGAAGCTGACAAATGCAACTATCCACTATAGTTCTATGGGATTTACCTGCATTAGGACCACCTCCTGCAGAATATCTTCATTAACCACAACAATGGAAAACATAGAGATGAAGTTTTTTAAAAGGAGTTACAGAAATTTAGCTTACTGCTTCCAAAAAATCATGAGTTGTAAAATGTTGCTCCTTAATCATCTTGTCTCCCAAAGATTTCAAACATTTTACAGATAGAGGATGAGAATCATGCATCTGCAACCCATTAATTTAGTAAGAAATACAAGACTACACCCTAATGATGAAAGCTTATGATAAACAAAGTATGATCACCTACTTTGCTTGAGATCCATATAGAAACAAGGGCAAATAATTGCAGGTTGCTCTCCCTTATGGGATGTAAAAGCCAGTTTTCCATGTCATTGCTGTGTCTGAATCTTTGCAAGTACAAGTTAATGGTCACAAATTTGTAGTAATAAAGACATGAAACAAACTTTTTTTTCCCAACTAGAAAAGTATAAAACAAAATCTTCCACACTCATGGACAATCAATTAGCATACTTAAATTCTGGTACAAAAGCGTACTCAACATTTCTGAATTATAATCCTCGTAGCATACAAATGTGTGTATCAGGTTCTTATACTTAACTAAGTGACAAAACCTTTACTGAGTTTAGTATGTTCGAGTTTTCTACGTGTATTTCAAATTCTATAGTTTGTTCATTCGATGATTGGTCGACTCAAATACTAAAAATAATATAACTATTGAGAGAAAGGGCATAGGGACATTAAATACAATTTCTAATTCTGAATTCTCGTATTTTCAATAGATAAACCTTTGGATTGATTTAGTTCAGATTTTTCAATGATGAACTTGAGTCTTGTTTCCCCCAGTAAATAATAGCATCATATTTGTATAAATTCACATATTTATAGATTCATTGATTCCTCAAAGAGATTAGTGTGTTCCACTAAGATTGAGAGTATGGACATGTCCTTTAGTCAAATGCACCTTCAAGGATCTATGAAATATCATCACCCTGTTAAGGAATTGCGAAAACTAATCAACTGATACAAATTGCGATTGCTTCTAATAACAACAACATTCACTGTAAAAAGATCACTGAACAATGTATGATAACAAAATGCCGATAATGATGTGATAAGATCAAAAAATGCACGATTCAGAGATTTTCTTATACTATGAACCCTAAAAACGAAAAACGCTTAATTATTGATGATTACTATAAACACCTCACTGAAACGGATTGATTGAACAAACACATGAATCTATTCATGTATACGAAACCATGCACGAAGTCGAGGGCTAAAATTGCGATATCAAATCGATTATACAGATACATACATGTATGTATATATATATATATGTGGTACCTGATCGGAATCGCTACCGGAGAGTCGCCGGGAAATCGGAGAATCGAGGAGAGATGAGGCGGCAACGGAGCGATCCAGCCCTGGAGAGAGATGCTATGAGACAATGATGAACCACAGATCAGAAGCAATCAACGAGATCCGTAGACAAGAACCATTGAGTTCATATATCGAATCCGTAGAGAAGAGATATATGAAAAGAAATTAGGTATTTGAGAGAGAGAGAGAGAGGGAGAGAGTGAGAGATGAAACCTGATGCTTTTTTTTGTTTTTATTTTTGATAGTTCCGACTCTTGAGTTCTATATATAAAATACAATAATATATGATTTGAGTTTACTAGAACCAATTAAAATGGTAGGGAAAAGTGCTTGATTTAGTGCTTGATTTTTTTACAACTAAATAAAATTTGTTTAAAAAATATAATAATATAATTAAATATATATATTTTTAAATTCTTTCATTTTATCTTTAAAAGTATAATTTTTATAGATAAATTATTTTTATCCCTAAAAATTTGCCTTTAAAAATTTGTAAGTACATGTCTGTCAATAGGCTATACAAGCACTATCAAATCCATTTTTCGGTACCTAGTCGCGCAAGTTTCTGAACTTTCACCAAGGACATACCAGCCAACATAATAAAACTACAACCACAACCCCTAACCCGATTCACCATGGTATTCACTCATTTTTTTCAAAATTAATACATTTACAATGTTCAATATGAAATGATGCACAATGCACAATTTAAGAGAACTTAACTTCGATTAAATCTAATCCGCATGCAATGTCTGCAACAATCAGTACTATCCTCTACTGATAGTCCAAAATAGATATTTCTATTTAATAAATAATTTCCAATCAAAAGATACAATTTCATCAATTACAATGAGAGTGATACTACATATCCAACTCTACCATCATCATTAACATAAGCATAGTTGCAATTTCACAATGCCCAACATCATTTTCCTTTTCCTTTCACAAATCCAAATATCTAAAATTTAGTCCAAAACCCCATTTTCTTACAGAGTTGATTTTAAGAAAAGATCTCCACCATTTTAACATATTTCAACTATAGACTCATTTCCACAACTATTTTCAAGAATCCATTTGGAAAACCCCTATTTTGATTTCAAATCCAAATCCTAGGTTTTTCCAAAATCCCTAAATCATTAACCCTTTTCAAAGAGAAAATAACTAAGCTAAAAATTATATAAAAGAGTCAAATAAATCCCTACCTCAAAGTAGAAGTCAAGAAGAAACAATGGATAGAACTTGACGGTATCAAAAACACTAAGGGGTTGTTTGGGATGTTCTAAATAAGTGTACTTTTTGATTTTTTATGAAATATGGGTTGGGTTTGAAGTGATGTGGTAGAGAGATGATGTGACTTAAATAAGATGATGTGACTTAAATATGATAGTGACTTTTTGACTTTTTGTCTTTTTTCAGATATGCTAAACTTGGCCTAAATGCTTCCATTAAAATGAAGCCCTCGACGTACTCAATGTTTTTCTCCAAAGGACTAGGGTGAGGAAATCAAAGAATTGAGAGTATTTGGAGCTAGGATTTTGAAATGTTTAGAGAGAGAGAGAGGTGAAAAAGTGACTGAAACAGGCTGCCTCTCAGACTGATATACGCACAGACTGCTTGAGCGACAGACACAATAAGTGACACCGCTCGAGTGACCAAAACCACCGCTCAATGACTCCCTCCCAGTAGTTTAGACCTGTAAAAGATCGCTCGAGCTAAGATATCAAACTCTCAGTAGTTTTGCAGACTGTAAAAGACCACTCGGGCATAGGAATGGTCGCTCGAGCAAACATGCCAAAATCTGGACAATAACTCTTTGAAAAACTAACCTCCCAAAATCTGAAGTTGCTACCGAACTGGCAGTCGTCAAGATTGAGCTCGAAGTTGCACGCAAAAGGGTGGTGTCGCTGGAGTTTGAAGTGGCAAACGAGAAGAAAAGGATTGGCGAGGCCCAGCAAGCTTGCACCTCTGCTAATGAAAGGTTGGAGGAGGCCCTCACAAATAATGAAGAGCTGCGTGATCTGGTATTGAAGGAGAAGGATGAGGCAAACACACGGGTTATTGAATTGGAGAGAGCTCTTGCTGCTGAAAAGGAGGCCTTGAAGAAGGAGAGAGGTAAATCGGCAGAGTTGGCCAAGACCTTGATGTCAGAGAGAGCGGCCTACCCTGACTTTTATGGCGCAGCTGTGGAGTAGTATAAACAGTCAACAGAATTCCAAATAGCCATAAATGTTGCTGTAGCCACAAGTCTGGCCAGAAGGGAAGAAAGTGAGGCTGGGCCCTTAAATGTAGCAACGGCTGAATTGGCGGAGGGACAGACCAGGGCGGAAATAATAGAAAACTTCTAACAGTCTAGACTACTTCAAGTACCAGCTGAGCATCTATTGGGATAGTGGGTGGGCGAGCTTCCAGCAAAGGGCAGAAGAGCTCTTCCTAGACATCGACTTCACCCGCATAAAGTTAGAAGAGGGAGACATTGCTTAGACCCCACTGGACGAGGGTATTTAAGAAGAAGATTTGATGTCCAATAGGGAGGAATAAGATGAAGGCGGAGCAAGTTGAACGTTTGGGGGCATAGTACTTGTTTATCTTGTTTGTTTTGTTTTAATTTGTCTTTGCAAAGAATTTTACAGTTTATAAGAAATTTGTGTTATAGTACAAAAACTGTTCTTGTAAGTTGTGAAGTAATAAACTGTTGTTCATTTTTCCTTTTGCACTATTGTGTAATGAACCAGCCCTGCACATGTTACATTAGTTGAAATGAAGAACAAAATGGAATTTGAAAATTGTAAAATGTAAGTGAGAGGGAGATTTATGATCTGGAATTGGGCCGGACGGATTTGGGCCGAACAAGGGTTGGGCCGAGGTAGTACGGCTCTGTCTTGGAAGATCCTGCTCGGTTAATGCAAGGCGTGGTTTGACCGAGCTACATAGCTTCTTGGTATCGAAGCCTGTCAAATGGGTTGTCCGGCGCCAGGAAAGACAAGGTTGGATCGAGCCACATGTGTTTGCTCGGCAGTAAGGCCCACGGCAAACAAGCGTAGCTGTCCCGAGCTCGGCAATGCCGGGATATGCCCGAGCTTGGTCGAAGCGGAGCGCGGCGCTTTGGCCAGCTATACAACACGGCCATCTACAGCCGAGATAATGCAGCCCGGCTGCCGAGCTCCCAGTAGAGTGGGTTGGCAGTCGGGTTAAGTGATGTTCAACAAGATTTGTGCTGACAATTGGGATAGTAGCACCACATGTCGAGAGACGAATGAGAGTGGATTTGGCGCGCAGAAGGTATATAAGTAAGTCTGCGCCCCCCATGCTGAGACAGATGAACATTTGGTGAGATTTACACTAAATACTCAATCCTCTCTCTCTCTATCCCTGTGTGTGTCTAACTTGATCGTCGGAGGGATTTTTTGGCCACACTGCCGGGTAGCTCACTGTTGTTGTGCACGCAGGTGATCGGATAGAACAGAGCTTGGAAGAGAGGAGTGCGGGCTTGCCTGAATATTTGCTCCCCGCATAATTGGCGCCGTCTGTGGGAATTCGACAGACAAAACCTTGTCTTTCTGGCTCATCTGATCCACTGTTCGCCGTTGACGGAGTTACCCTGGAGTCGGGCAGACGGAGAGAAGGACATCCCACCATCATTCCTCCGATGGCGGACCTGGAGATTTCTCCAAGAGGACATTCAAGAGATGCGCGGGATAAGCGCGGAAGAAGTGATGGTCATTCACAGAGTCCAGACGGTCATCGGCGGCGGAGAGAATCACATGCCAGACGTCTGGAACACAAGTTAAGGGACCAGGACGTCGTCATCTGGTGAATGGCGGCGGAGATAGAGGAGTTGAAGTGGCATGTCAAAGGAAAGGGTGTAGCTGGAGAGGGAGACCACAGTGAGCGCACCCAACCCCGCCGTTCAAGCAGTTAGAGCCAGCGGCATACACCGTTCATCTCAATCACCAGAAGTTATAAGGTTAGAGATTCCGACGTGCACGAAGAGAAATCCAGCACGCAAGATAGTACTTATCGACCCTCACGTCCGACGACGACGTCGAGGTATTCTTATTCTGCTTATTCAGAAGATTTGCGGGCAGTTTTGAAGGAGCGGGCTCGCCGGCGGGAGGCTCAAAGGGTGCCGGCGTTCCAGCGGCTATCCTATGGGGTTCACGCCAGCGAGGAGGTCGGAATGCCTCTACCCCGCCCAGCCGCGCCTCTCCTTGTAGATACAGACTTGGCGAGGCTGAGTGCCACCCCATTCTCTGTGGATATAGAGACCGCGCCGCTTTCGGCGAGCTTCTACCAGCCAAAGTTCACGCTCTATGACAGAAAAACTGACCCGTATATGCATGTAAGTCATTTCTGACAGGTCATGGCCGGACATAGGTGGAATGACGCTCTTATGTGCTTAATCTTCCCGTCAAGTTTGGGCGAGCTGGGTTTGAAATGGTTTGAGAGGTTGCCGGAGGGGAGCATTGAAAGGTGGCAGCAGTTGGCTGAAGCCTTTGTGACACGCTTCAAAACCAACACCAAAACACCGAAGGAAGTTGATCACCTCCTCAGTATCAAGATGGAACCGAGCGACACATTGAAGGCATACAACTCTAGATATTGGGAGACCTTCAACGAGATCTTGGATTGCCCGGTCAACCTTGCAATCACATAATACAAGCGCGGTCTTCCGGTCGGACATAGACTGTGGGACTCGCTTACCATGCACCAGCCGACATCCATGGGCCAGCTAATGCAACGCATCAATGAGCACATCCGAGTGGAAGATGATGCATCATCATCTACCGTAAAGGCAACTTCGGTAGCAACAGACAAGCGATCAGCTGGCAAAGTGCACGCCGTCGAGCAGGAGTCCGGCCGATCCAACGACCGCGCTGAGAAATTGTACCGTGGCAATAATCGCAAAAATCGGGGTAGGGGACGTCGGAATGACCGGGATGACTACCCCCGGGATGGCATAGCCGATGCAAACAGAAGGTTGAAAGCAATGACAGACATCACCACGGTCTTCAAGATTCCAATCTATCGCATACTTAGTGAAATCCGTGACGAGGAGTATGTCCAGTTTCCTGTTAAGTTAGGTGACAGACAGAAGGGCTTCAATCCGCGGTACCGTTGCACGTTTCATCGGGAGCGCGGCCATTGGACAGAGGATTGTTTGCTTTTGAGGCAACACTTGGAAGAGCTAGTCGTAGCCGGACACCTGGACCTTTACATTGATGGCGGTGTGAAGGCCAATCAAGCTTCGGTTAA